TAGAGAGCGTTCGTTTTTGTATATGAAAGTTAAGTCTTTTCAGTTTCACGGTGTATTAACGAGGCACAAAGCTTTTCTATTCACAGTTGTTCATTATAAAGCAGTCTGTTAGAAATTTTAGAGTATGTTCACATTCAGGCTCTTTGTCATCGCATTCCGATAGCAGTTCCGCAAATACGTCGGTGAAATCAAACGACAGCACCATCCGGCAGCAGAACCTCGCTAACATGATTCGCAAGGTATGATTTCGATGACCTGTCAGTCTTGCAGTCGCCGTGCGTGCAGCAGTCGATTTACAGAATGCATGTTTAGATTCTCGAAGACCAACTGCACATTTGCTTACCGAACAACCCTTCTGAGTTAGCCGCACTCTTGTCAGACGGTGTTCTACTTTGCAATTTCATCAACAGCATGAATGCACGCACGATATCGTTAGTCCATGTGCCAACAAATCCTTCGGTAATTAGTTCGCCCTCGTTTTAATTTATTGGCGCATTCAGAGCAGTACAGTGAAGTAAATTCGAATACAAGCTTCACAGTTTCAAAATTAAATAATTAAACGATGAAAGATCGCGTTTTGCTTGAGATCTCGAGAGACCTTAAAGCTAATAAATGGCCGGGCTTGAGTCATGTTCTTCATGCATAATGAATGATAAAGCGTATACAAAATACGCAAAACTGATGAACACAACTTCCTTGGATGCATGCAGATCTCAGAGTTTCAGTAAATGAAGTGAAGCCCGCGGATCTCTTTCACTCTTGGTGTAGTATGTTCATTCCAGGCGAAGTTGTAACCCAGTGTGACGCAAGGTGTGATGAAGGGATGAAGTTTGCAGTTGTCAGTGATGACACCAGAACTAATTGTTTCCACTGCGTCTAGTGCAGGACTTTTCAAGCTTTTTATTACATATGAGCATTCATCTCTTCGTCGTATTTAATAATGGATATTACGCAATGGCCATAGAAAATGTGATTATATTCGTGAAATTATAGGTGAAACTTCCAGCTGCCAAAGCGCGCCGGAATGTGGAAAACTTCCTGATGGGTTGCCGACGGTTAGGCGTTCCAGAGGTAATGACGCTTCCTTAATAAGTTTTGTTTATTCGTTTTGTTCAAAGTCGACGAAACTTTTCTTTCGATTGACTTTCTCTATACGTGGAATGCGCACTTCAGCTTGCGCATCTTAAGCTTTAATATAGATTATCTTTGGCAGTCTTAGCTGTTGCTTTAAAGTTTTTGTCTCAAGTCGCTTTAAATATTGTTCAATGACTGAAACAGCAAGGAGCTTGTCTTTTTATAGTATTACATTCAGACTGCTGTCGTTCATGGCACTGTACAAAGACCCACATGGATATTATTCGTTTCATACATTTGGTTGATTAATCAAAGGATTGTTTTCTTTATTCATGGTTAGGAAACTCAAACGTAAAACTGATGGAGACGTGTTTCTAACAATCGTAATAAGAGCAGGCCTAGTGTAGGAAAAACGGAGAGCATCTGTATGATCTGGATACATGGTGGCAAATGCGTCTTAGGAGTGCAAGGTTCGATTTCTTATGTCGTTGGACTGCGTTGATAAATTCGTTTACCCGCGACGTAGGCAGAAACTTCAACATGCTCGTATCTGTAAAGACGTTATCATGCTATATAAGGTTGAGGAGAGAATGACACTCGCCGTTGATTGTACTGCTTTTAAGAGACTAGCTTTTTATTGCCCTACTAGTTTTTTTTCAAAATACTCTGAACGGAAATACTTGTTTCTCCCGTCCTTTTTTCATCGCGATTATTCAATGCTTCTGAGAAGGTTAGTTTTGGTTCGTTCTTGTGATCCCCATGGGACACGTGGGAAACGCCATTCGTTTCGCAGCGGTCGCTATTCGAATACATTTAGCTTAATTGCGATAATTTTGATTTGAATGCCGATTTTCTCGTTCCTGACCAATTTGACAGGCAGTTGCCCGACCCTGCATAAAAGTGATATTTCACTTTAAAAACCGAGAGTTGTAGCTAAGTGCTCTGTTTTCGTGCCATATGTCGAAGAAGTTAATTATGTTATTGTTCAAAGTTTTCTTGGAAAAGTTTTGCCTTATAAGCGCAACTGGTACTCATTACCCTCTGTTTAGCAGCATATTTGTTTCTTGTGTATATGCGGGGGGTGCTCATTATTAAGTCGACGCATACGGATTATGTTATCACATGTTTTAATGATCATAAACCTATGGGTAGATTCTTAGTCTTTATTGTTTACTGAACTTCTGTCCGTACTGTTCAGACCTTCAGTACGATTTGTCTTACCAGTACGACTTTGTAACATTTGCTGCGATGTGCGCTGTTTAGCATTTAAACAAACATATGCAAAATTTCGCAATTATAATCAAACATAAAACAGCACTGTTTTTAAGGATTTTTTGACTTTGACCGTGAGGTTTCAGTTACCTTGAACTGCGTTTTAAACTGCAAAGGTGATTAGCGGCTAGAAACGTTGCCGTAGTAGATTACTGGCTGTATGTTAACTGGTGAGGGGCTTTTGACTTGTTCCAAAGTGTCAACCTGTTGCTTGTTGTACCAAGTGAACAACCAGCGCTTCTGATGTCTTTTTGTTTCTGTTTTTCTGTTTTATGGGTAGAATGTTTGGAGCTATCTTCTTCTGTATGGTTATGTAGGCACATGATTGCATATACATATTTACTTCCAGTGTATATTTTACTGCTAGAGCTATGTTTTCTATACATGTTTGAATCTTTGTGCTACTGCTTTGTTTTTTGAAGCTTTGTGCTTTGACCTGCAGCTTTTTGTAAGGTCATTTTTGTAACTTTTGATAGTAATTACGTTATTATACGGAGTTGAAAGTAGCGATTGCAGGAAACGGTCGACAGTTGACTCCTGCGACGTTGCCGTCTTCCTGCGCGTATGACACTGTCGTGTAATACTAGTTCCTTTTAGGTCAGACTGCCCTCTTATGAGTTCGTGATTTCCCAACCTCTAAGTTTGGATTTAACCGCGCAGCTGATAACCTTGGTCTGTGATAAGCCTTTGGATGATGCTGCGGCAACCAGTGGCCTGTACGTTCCATCGTTTTGCGAACATTTAATTATTTACTGTTGTATGATAGTATTTCTATCGCTGATTTGTAACGTTGCCCAATTTTTGATGCATTTTTTGTGATATATGGCTCTACATGGTATTGTTCAAGAGCATATGTTCGCTGCTAGCGTTTCTCTTTCGGTCTAATGTGTCATTTGCACTTGAATAGTTGTCCGATGATCACGCCATCCGAAGACATGCGCAAATTGCCGCGTTTCCTGTTCAAATGTGTAGTTGTAACCAGTTTAGTCGTATTTTGGTTGTCGGTCGTTTTTGTGCGCATAGTCGGATTAACTCTGTCAGCCGATATGTGCGAGACTGCCGTCTTGTTTTCGTCGTCGTCGATCATTCCATTGACGTTACAATAAAACATAACAAGGAGCATCACTTTTCATGAGCTTTGCGACACGCTTTTTAATCGTCGATTGAACGTTTGGTTTGTGTTGTTTGCGGCTTTGACGTTCAACTTATATTTTATTTTATAGGTTAGCATGTTTTCTGTGCCAGATTTAGTGGAGCGCCGTAATCTGGTAACTGTAAACAGGACACTGCAGGCCGTTTGTAAAGTACAACATGCGAAGAAGACCGGTGCAAAAGCCATTAAGACCTGCTCTCCGAGAACAACAAATGTGTGATATACGTCGCTCGGCGTATGTGCTTGTGACGTCTGGCTGACATGGCCGCCCGTATACGATCGACCGAATTTAATACCCGCTGCTCTCACTGCTCGCTTTAGGCGTTCTTCTACGTTTTGTGCTACTGCAAGTGTCGACCTCGCAACTGCAACTGATCTGTACACTGGATTCGACATCGCCAGTCCAGTTCGCACGCCACAGCGTTCCAACTATTCACACAGCATTCGTTGTATATGTTACGCAGTAACTAGTAATGCTGCCGTAGATATGCTTGTTTAGTTTCTCTCCGCAGTTTCTTGTGTCCATAAGTAACTTGATCATGCGCTCAGCGTTTTGAGGTTGTAATGGGGAATCAGTTATTCGCCAGGCTGTACCGCATTGTTTTACCCCAGAGTAGTACGGTTCGACCTTGAAAGAATTAAAATTAAGGTTTCATGCCTGAATTGTATTTCAGACCGATTACATCAGTTATAGCAACCTATAACAGCGAATTATGGAAGTTACCTGAAGAGCGAAACGACTCAATAATAGTATGAGAGATTCTGCTAAAGGCAGGATTTTGTCTTAAAACACCGAGAAACGGCTATACCGCGTGAAAGTCTGGACTTTGCTATATATCAGGGAACCAATCAGTAAGTACTTACGGGAAGCTGCCAGAAGAGCAACCTAAAGACCAAACGGTAACCTGGAAGCT